AGTTCTACGAAATAATTTAATTTATACAATTACAATTATTATATGTATGTTTGAAAGACATCAAGTGGAAATCGTGTTAATTAATTTTTAGTGAAAGCGAAAATTTTATTTTTAAATTAACAGTTGAACCTATTTTATTCAAATATCTGAATCTCATATCTTATTAATTAGTTGATTTGCATTTTTTTATTTTTATTTATTATTTGTTTAATTATTTAACCAGTTATTATTCTACAAATTGGAAAAAATAAAGGTTCTCCGACATATATTTCTTTTTATTTGAAATATTTGATATATGTCTTTTTTGACTTAATATCGACAATGTCAGAATGTTTTCATTAGCAATGCGTTGAAACATCTGCGTTTTTTGGCAAAAATGACGAAAAACACATTATTTTAAAAAGCCATTCAATCTATTTTGGTTTATATATATTATATATATATAAACAATGTATATATGAATATTTATGTCTGAATATCGAAAACGTTGGTTCGTTTGTAAGTCGAGTGACAACTTTGAAATATTACAGGATGAACTTTCGGGGTCGACTCGTAATCAACATTCAAATTTCTATGGGAAAACAGATGCTCTTAGAGTAATATCCATTAACTAAATAATAATTTTAAACAATGTTAAGAACTACAAAATAACTTTCTTAGATAATAAAAAATTTGCTCTAACATATCAGATACATTTCTGTTGCAAAACATAAAACTAGAAAAAGATTGATGACGACTCCTAAAACGAATTCAATTTCTATTATAAAAATTGATTCCTCCTATAACAAGCACTTTTATATCAATTCCTTAGTTAAAAATAAATATAAAAATAGCAGAAATAATAAAAATAATTCCGCCAAACGATGTAGGTATCTATCCATCCATTCATCCATTCATCCATTATTATAAGGAGGCATTTCGATGGCCATTAAATGTTCTAGACACACATATAAATATTTTATGGTGCTATGAAAAATCTATTCTCTGCGAAATCTTCATTTTATTACAAGTCGAGACAACAATAGTATGGAAAAATAAATGTCAAAGGGGTGAAATTTTTTTTTGTTTTTCAGGGTACGTAAAACTACTAACACGGAAGGTAAAAATCAATTGGAAGTAGATTATTTTGTTTTGAAGAAGATGATTTATTTAAAATTTAGCTTGAAATAATCCTAGAATCATGGACAAGTCATACGAGAAAAAAGTTTGAACTTTAGAGCATTTTTTTAAAGTTAAATTCATAGTTCAACAAAAGTTGTGCTCTAGAGGTTGCACTTCAATGCTCATAAATTTCAAACAACATTAGATACATTTCTTTTCTATTTTTTTCTCGACGTTGAGTTCTGGGACACCCTGTATATATGTATGTCTGTGTATATATATCTACATGTGTATTATTCCCTTTTGCAGAAGTTTTTTGAATAAATTTTTGGCTAACGAGACTTGCAACAGTGCAAAGCGCATAAAATGACTTTGTAATGAACAAACGCAAAACCGTTCCCCGTGCAATTTGCATCTTTTAAGAGAACATTTACAACTCTTTGATACATTCATAGATATATATATATATACAAATATATATACATATATATATATATATATATATATATAATATATATATACTAAGTGACCCTCTACAATTCAAAAGTTCCAAATTTTTTAATGAACATTATTGCTTAAGTTCAAAACTTTGGGTGAATTAATTTGTAAAATCTACTTCAATCTAAGATCAACTTGCTAAATATTTCATATCCAAAAGCCAAACAAATGAATTTTAGACAAATGAACAAAATTCTAAATCATTTTTTTAATAAGCAAAAATATTTTTTAGTATTGTTAAATAATTTAATAAAGTGAACCAAAATGCGACATGCATAAGTTTAAATAATAATGTATATGCAATTTTGGACCTATTGCGTTATTTATTAAACTGAATTATATAATTTCATCTGCCAAACAATCAATTTTCATCTTGTCAATACAAGTAAAATGTTTTTTGAATTATTAAAATCGGACGCTTCGTTCACCTAAAAACTGAAGTACCGTTTTTGGCACTTTTTGCCCAATATCTTCGGAACGGCTAGACCTACCTCCGCCAAAAACTAATCAGCACGTCTCCTTATCAATACGAATCGAATGTTTTTTAAATTATTCATTGCTTCATCGTGTGCCCGAAATCGTCGACGAAAATTTGTATCCGCACACACATACTGTTCTGTAATAACACGATCATACGTGCTTTTGATCAAAATATAAATTCATTGTTCAATGTTGATCGAAGTCCAAGATCTTTACATGAACGCGGAAGACGCCATTCCTAGAATTGACACGTACAATGTATAATATATAGAGTCAGAATTATTTGTATTAACTAGTGATGCCTTAGGCAGAAGTCTAGCCAGTGATGTCTTAGTCAAAAGTCTAGCCATAATGTCTTAGAGTATGTCTTAGCACGAATCTATGCTAGTTTGTGATGTGAAGTTATTAAAGATTAAATAAAGTTATAGTCGAATTTAGATTCAGTGTTTGTATTCTACTTTGCGTAAAGACATCTTTCAGCCTATACCAATATAAAGTGCTCACGGTTCTGAGGAGACTCATACCAGTGTTGTTATTTTCTATTATATAACTCTAAGCTCTGCCCACGACACCAGAACAAGGTTGGACTGATCTAGCACCCCTTGGAGAGTGGATCAATCTACATTTGGAACCACCCAATCCAATCAACCCTACAACAACAACTCATAACATTTCAATACATACACGCACACACACATACACACACACACACTGACACACACACACATACATCCATTTTTTTAAGGTATGCCAAAATGTTCAGAATGTTTTGAAACGTAAAGATATATAAACATTTTCATTTTTGATTTTTTTGCGATTACTATAACTTACCCTACGGGAAGTTAATAATATTTGGTACGGAAAGTTCCACCAGTTTGCCTTAAGGCACGATGCCATATACACCACTAGTTTCTGACATATTTAACTTCCCGTAGGGTAAGTTATAGTAATCGCAAAAAAATCGAAAATGAAAATTTTTATATATCTTTACGTTTCAGAGATTTCTGAATATTTTGGCATACCTTAGAAAAATTGATGTATGTGTGTGTGTGTGCGTGTGTGCGTGTATGTGTGTGTGCGTGTATGTATGTGTGTGCGGATACAAATTTTCGTCGACGATTCGGGAACACGGATGAAGCAATTTGAATAATTTAAAAAACATTCGATTCGTATTGATAAGGAGACGTGCTGATTAGTTTTTGGCGAGGGTAGGTCTAGCCGTTCCGAAGATATGGGGCAAAAAATGCCAAAAACGGTATCTCAGTTTTTAAGAGAACGGAGCGTCCGATTTTAATAATTCAAAAAAACATATTATTAACTCCCGTAGGGCAAGTTATAGTAATCGCAAAAAAATCGAAAATGAAATTTTTATATATCTTTACGTTTCAAAGGTTTCTGAACATTTTGGCATACCTTAGAAAAAATGGATGTATGTGTGTGTGTGTGTGTGTGTGTGTGTGTGTATGT